AATGGCTTCCTTTGCACTCGACTCTTTAAATATTTTGTTACAATGTTTTATCTGAAGGTGCATAGAACCCGTAGTCCTCTACGTAGATGTACACTTTGCTTGTCAAGCAAAGATAAATCAATAGTTTGCCGTCAATATATGCACATGTATCTGTGTATACAGCGACTTCTGGGAAAATTTCCAATTATCTGAAAACTTTTTTTTAACGCTAAATTGACTTAAATTCCAAGGGTGTTTGTAATATACAGACCGGTCTCAACAATCACAACATCACAGTGGTGAAACATAGCTTCAAAACTTGCAGACTGATAAATATTTTATAGGGAAGGCTACATTCTCTTTTCCAGCGACAAAAATCTCAGGCTCAGTGATATTTGTCCAATAATCTCCAGGCTTTGTGCAGGGATTCTGCAATGTACCGGCTCAAATTATTGACTTCACCCGAGGGTAACCTTCCGACACCTACCCCCATCTCAACGTTCTTTTAGGGGAATAAAGGGTGCAATTCCGGCGATCTAACTTACAAATGCGGTATATCTGTTCATTTCCATGTTTTAAGCGCATTCGAAAATCAAAACAATCAAATAGCTCGTACCCTGCATATGTAATGTATTCCAACTTGACATATCCAATATTAACCGCTATTTTCCATTTTTCATTGAATTCTTACAATTTATCCAGCAATTAGAATATATCCTAACATGCCAAATCCAATCTTCACCCTAATTTTCCATTTTCTGAACCAACCTACGAGTGGGTAATATCATAACTTTTCCATATCCAATCTTTATCCCGATTTGTTCAAATAACTCTAGAAAAACGGGGTAAACCGTGACAATTCTTTCCACGAGTGGTTAATATCATGACTTGCAATGTTCAATCTGTCCCTGATTTTCCATTTGTTCAACGAATTCTAGAAAACGGGATACGTTTTGACAATTCATCATGCAAGTGGAACATAACTTAAGTTGTGATGTCAAATCCTTATCCAGATTTACCTTTGTTTTAATGGATTAGTTCAAGAAAAACTGGGTAAACTCTGAGAATTCATGATACCCTTAGCTCCCATATGCTATCTTTACTCCGAGTTTCCAATTTTGCCAAATCAACTCTTTAGCCTAATTTTCCATTTTTTTCGTTTATTAGAGACAAGTAAGGTAAAATCTGACAATTAATCCCACATGTGGGATACATCCTAGCTTTTCATAATCAATCTTCACCCCGATTTTCCGTTTATTGAGTCAATTTTGGAAAAACGGGGTAAAATCTGAGTATTCATCCTGTCAGTGGAATACATCCTAACTTGTCATATTCAATCTCTGTCCCGGTTCTTTGCATTTTTCCAAGAATTCTGTAAAAATGGGGTAAAATCAGACAATTCATCCTACAAGTGAAACATATAAGTTATGAGAATTCATACCGTAAGTGGAATATATCCTACGTTGTCATATCCAATCTTTGCCCCGATTTTCCATTTTTTGACGAATTAATTCCAAAAAAACAGGGTAAACTCTGAGAATTCATGCTACAAGTGGAAATTACCCGAAGTTTCCGAATGCCATCTTTGCCCAGATTTTCCATTTTTTTCGTGAATTCTAGAGAAGCGGGACAATTTCTTAGAATTCATCCCGCAAGTGGAATGTAACCTACTTTGTCATGTCAAATCTTTCCTGATTTTCCATTTTTTAGTGAATTAATTCCAGAAAAACAGGGTAAACTCTGAGAATTCATGCTACAAGTGGATAATACCCGTAGTTCCCATATGCCGTCTTTACTCTGATTTTTCAATTTTTTTCAAGGAATTATGGAAAAACGGGGCAAATTCTAGTAAATTATCCTCCAACTGGAATATATCCTATTGACCTGCCACATCTAATCTAGTTTACCCCGATTTTCCATTTTTTTTTCAATGATTATAGAAAATGGGGTTCATTCTGAAAAGTCATCCTCCAAGTGGAATTTATCCTACTGACTTGCCATATCCAATCTTTACCTCGATTTTCCATTTTTTTTCAATAAATTCTAGCAAAACGGGGTAAATTCTGAGGGAACATGCTACAAGTGAATAATACCTTTAGTTCCCATATGCCATCTCTACCCCAATTTTCCATTTCTTTTTTCAGCGATAAATTCTACGATTAGCGCTAATCGTTAACCCCCCAAAAATAAAGCAACGCACAATAACGTAATATGTATTTAGACGTTTTTTTATAACGCCCGCTTTCAGTTATTATTAACTTCCATGGAAATTAAAAACTTAGGCACACCAACGTGCTATGTAATATACTGTTCCCCGTTAATTGCAGTCATTCTCTAAAGAAGTCTCAATTAGAGACGAAACGCGTCGGAAATAAACGAGGAGCTTACAACTACAAGAAGTGTTTCTTTGTGCGGCTCGCTAGTCTTAATTACAAATTAAAAAAAAAGGAAAAATTACAAACTTTAAAAAAAGTTTCTTTTCTCAATGAATTCTAGAAAAGCGGGATGAATTCTGAGAATTCGTCCTTCATGTGGAATAAATCCTAGGTTGCCAAATCCAATCTTTAATCCGATTTTGCATTTCTTTTTCAATGAATTCTAGAATTACGTAAATTTTGAGAATTTGGCCCGCAAGTAGCTAATACCGTAAGTTCCCATATGGCATCTTCACCCCAATTTTTCATTTGATCAGTGAATTTTAGAAAAAAAAGAGGTAAATTCTGAGCATTCATGGTACAAGTGGATAATACCCGAAGTTCCCATATGCTATCTTTACCCAGATTTCCCATTTTTTTTTCTGAAAATTCTATAGAATAACGAGGTAAAATGTCAGAATTCATCCTTCAAATGGAATAGATCCTAGGTTGTCATATCCAATCTTCAACCCGAATTTCTATGCTTTTTTTCATTGAATTCTAGATAAACGGGATAAATTCTGCGAATTCATCCCGCAAGTGATAGCAATACGCTAAATTCCCATATGCCATCTTTACCCCGATTTTCCATTTGATCAGTGAATTCAAGAAAAACGGGGTAAATTCTACGCTTTCATACTACAAGTGAATAGTACCCTGAGTTCCCACATGCTATCTTCAACCCGATTTTCCATTTTTTTCAATGAATTCTAGAAAAACGGGGTAAATTCTGCGAACTCATCCCGCAAGTGATAGCAATAGGCTAAGTTCCCATATGCCATTTTTACCCCGATTTTCCATTTGATAAGTGAATTCGAGAAGAACGGAATCAATTCTGAGCATTCATGCTACAAGTGAATAATACCCGAAGTTCCTATATGCTATTTTTACCCCGATTTTCCGTTTTTTTCAGTGAATTTGACAAAAAACAGGGTAAAATCTGAAAAGTTATCCTCTAAATGGAATAGATCCCAAGTTGCCATATCCAATCTTCAACCCGATTTTCCATTTTTTGTCCAATGAATTCTAGAAAAACGGGATGAATTCTGTGAAATTCATCCTTTAGGTGGATTCTATCCTATTGACTTGCCATAGCCCCATTTTCGATTTAATCATTGTGTGAATTTGTCATCCACCCAAAAGTGCAATAAATCCTACAATAATTTAGAAACAGTACTAAAAAAAACAGCTAAAATCAGCGGAACCGCAATAAAATCACAATCTGGTACTTCAATTTTTTTAACGGAGGGCTCAGTGCGATACGGCAAAAACCAACAGTACTCAAAATGAACAACTGAAGGCCAAACTTCTGTGATTGGAGGAAGACTTTGTGACGCAGACAAATAATCACAACTTGGACTTCTCAGTCGATCTCACCTCCGGCAGATCAGGTGAAGTGTCAAAAATATATAATTTTATGTCGACGAACCATGATCTAAGATCTTCAACTATTAAAGAAAATAAAGCAATTGTGATATGACGCCACATTGTGCTTTTGTCTTAGCTTGTGGCTAAAATGTTGTCATTGAGCTTGGCTCTGTTCAAGTATTTCACACAGTACAATTTTGAAATATGGCAACCCTACATGGAAGACGATCAACAGGTTTACATCATTTGTTTGATCATTCAGATTAACATTTTAAGACCTATAATTCAGCTAAGCTAGTATATAAGAAAGGTAAAACTGATTCTGCTGAAAAATTTAAATTAACCTTACAGCAAACTCCTGAAACTGCTCTGTCACGTTGCTCTCGGAAAACTGTTTAATCCAAGTAACTGATAAATAAAAACCCTAAGTTACTGATTCATTGCTTATTTCTCCGGCTAAAATCGGCGCGCATTTGGTGAAGACATCTTGCAGTCCGTTAAAAAGTTCTTTTGAAGCCAATTTCAATTCTGATTTATTCTTAAATGCACGTATAGCTCTAGTGTGAAGTGTCTACTTATGCCCACAAATTCAGTTACTTAGAATTTTTAAAACTGACACTCTTCATCTTCAAGAAACCTATAAGGATCTGCGATTTGTATTGAAGTGGTTGAATTACGAATATTAAAATAAAGGGAATCACTTCTGCCAGCATCAGACGATACTTGTTCCGATTTAGTATGAGGACAGCCTTTATTCTTATATCTCAGTGCTTGTGGAGGAAGATATGCTGAGTTATTTTCACTTGACTGGGCGCAAATGGAGGACGTAGATGTCAATGCTTGAGGAGGAAGATAGGTTAGGTTTTTTCCATGCGACTGAGCAGAACTGGCAGAAACAGATCTTATGGCTTGAGAAGAAAGATACGAAGGATTATTTCCACCAATCTGGGCAGAAAACACGGATGAAGATCTCACTGGTTGAGGAGGGAGATATGTTGAGTTACTTCCAACAGCCTGAGCAGAACACGCGGAAGCAGATGTCACTGCTCTAGGAGGGGGATAAGTTGGGTTGTTCCCACCTGCGCCAATCACTTGCGCTCCTATATTTTGGCCGTTTTATTCTGACTTCTAGGTACGCGCTCGGAAGTGTCGGCTTCACTTGCGTTTGATGCGTGTTGTTAACTTCTGGATGAATGGGAAGGTATGGTGGATTGTTTGCACCTGCGCTTGGAGAGTTTCTCAAGTGACCCCGTGTAGTTTACTTCGATCATCAACTGCCTGATGGATGGAAGGGTATGTTGGATTCTTTTGTCCTTCATCTGCGGACTGTTCTGCCCGAGGGGGTCGTTGACCTACGTCTTCTGATGCGGGTTGATCTCTGACTGCTCGGTGAATTGGAGGATATCGTGGATTGTTTCCTCGTGCCCTTGATAAGTGTTCTTGCCGATCGTTGTGTGTTGTGCGTTGATAACCGATTGCCTGGTGAATGGAAGGGTGAGAAGGATTCCTTTCTGCTCCATCTGAGGGGAGCTCCTCTTGGAAGAGTCCTTGTCTTACGTCCTTTGGTGTATGTTGATCTCTGACTGCTTGATGAATTGGAGGATACTGTGGATTGTTCGTACCTGTACCTGACGAATCTTCTTGCTGACCAGAGTCTGGTGTTCGTTGATCACTAACTGCCTGTCGAATAGAAGGATAGGCTGAATTCCTTTCTTCTCTACCTGAGAGGGGCTCCCCCTCGAAGAGTAATTGTCCTATGTTCTCTGGAGCAGGTTGATCTCTGACCGCTTGATGAATTGGAGGATACTTTGGATTGTTTGTACCTATACCTGACGAGTTTCCTTGCTGACCAGTGTCTGGTGTTCGTCGATCACTAACTGCCCGGTGAATAGAAGGGTAGGATGGATTCATTTCTTCTCCTCCTAAGGGGGGCTCCTCCCTGAAGGGAAATGGCCCCGTGTCCCCTGGTGCAAGTTGATCTCTGACAGCTTGATGAATTTGAGGATACTGTGGGTTGTTCATACCTATATGCGAGGAATCTTCTTGCTGATCAATGTGTGGTGTGCGTTGGTCACTAACTGCCTGGTAAACAGAATGATAGAATGGATTCCTTTCTTCTCTACCTGAGGGGGGCTCCTCCTCAAAGAGTAATTGTGCCATGTTCTCTGGAGTAGGTTGATCTCTGACTGCTTGATGAATTTGAGGATACTGTGGATGGCTCTTATCTGTACCCGAGGAGTCTTCTTGCCGACCAGTGTCTAGTGTGCGTTGATCACTAACTGCCTGGTGAATAGAAGGATAGGATGGATTTTTTTCTTCTCCACCAGAGGGGGAATCCTGCTTGGAGAGTCGTTGTCTTATGTCCTCTGGTGTATGTTGATCTCTGACCGTTTGATGAATTGGAGGATACTTTGGATTTTTCGTACCTGTACCTGAAGAGTCTTCTAGCTGACCAGAGTCTGGTGTTCGTTGACCACTAACTACCTGGTGAATAGAAGGATAGGATGGATTCATTTCTTCTTCTCCTAAGGGGGGCTCCTCCCTCAAGAGAAATTGTCGCATGTCCCCTGGTACAAGTTTATCTCTGACTGCTTAATGAATTTGAGGATACTGTCGATTGTTCTTATCTGTATCCGAGGAGTCTTCTTGCCGACCAGTGTCTAGTGTGCGTTGATCACTAACTGCCTGGTGAATAAAAGGATAGGATGGATTTTTTCTTTTCCACCAGAGGGGGTATCTTCCTTGGAGAGTCGTTGTCCTATGTCCTCTGGTGTATGTTGATCTCTGACCGCTTGATGAATTGGAGGGTACTTTGGATTGTTCGTACCTGTAGCTGACAAGTCTTCTTGCTGACCAGTGTCTGGTGTTCGTCGATCACCAACTGCCTGGTGAATAGAAGGATAGGATGGATTTATTTCTTCTACACCTAATGGGGGATCCTCCATGAAGAGAAATTGTCCCACATCCCTTGGTGCAAGTTGATCTCTGACTGCTTGATGAATTGGAGGATACGATGGATTGTTCGTACCTGTATTCGAGGATTCTTCTTGCTGATCAGTGTCTGGTGTGCGTTGGTCACTAACTGCCTGGTAAATAGAAGGATAGGCTGGATTCCTTTCTTCTCTACCTGAGGGGGGCTCCTCCTCACAGAGTAATTGTCCTATGTTCTCTGGACCAGGATGATCTCTGACTGCTTGATGAATTTGAGGATACTGTGGATGGCTCTTATCTGTACCCGAGGAGTCTTCTTGCCGACTAGTGTTTAGTGGGCGTTGATCACTAACTGCCTGGTGAATAGAAGGATAGGATGGATTTTTTTCTTCTCCACCAGAGGGGGAATCCTCCTCGGAGAGTCGTTGTCCTATGTTCTTTGGTGTATGTTGATCTTTGACCGTTTGATGAATTGGAGGATACTTTGGATTGTTCGTACCTGTACCTGACGAGTCTTCTAGCTGACCAGAATCTGGTGTTTGTTGATCACTAACTGCCTGGTGAATAGAAGGATAGGATGGATTATCTTCTTCTCTACCTATGGGGTAATCCTCCTTGAAGAGTAATTGTCCCGTGTCCTTTGATGCAGGTTGATCTCTGACCACGTGATGAATTGGAAGATACTGTGGATTGTTTGTACCTATATTCGAGGAGTTTTCTCGCTGATCAGTGTCTGGTGTGCGTTGGTCACTAACTGCCTGGTGAATAGAAGGAAAGGATGGATTCTTTTCTTCTCGTTTTCCTGTGTCCTCTGATGTATTTTGATCTCTGAGTGCTCGGTAAATTGGAGGATAGGGTGGATTCCTTACACTTGCACCTGATGAGAGCTCCTTCGCACTAGTATGCGATGTGTTTTGATGGCTAACTGCCTGATGAATGGAAGGGTTTGATGGGTTCTTCTCTCCCCCATCTGGGGATGGTCCCTCCTTCAGGGATCGCTGCCTTTTGTCCTCTGGAGGATTGTCTCCTTCCGCACCTAAGATGTGTTCTTGTTGAAGTCGTGTGTCATTGTACCTTAATGCAGTTAAGTCTTTCACCGCTTGGCAAATAGGTGGATACGATTGATTGTTTGCACTTGTGCCTGAGGATGTCTCTGGTTGGGATTGTGTAGCAAAGTTTTGTCAGTATTGGTTGATCTCTTACCATTTGGGTTTTGGAGGGATTAGAGATGTTGCCTTTTCCTGCATCTGAGGATTGTCCTTCCTCAGGTAGTCGCACACTTTCATCTGGATTAGGGTGATCTTTTACTGCTTGGTGAATAGGAGGGAAAGGTGGGTTCTCTCTTACTAAAAATTGTTCCTTCTGAGGTTGTTGATCAGCGCGTTCTTGAGTACTTTGATCCCTCGCCGCTTGAGAAATAGGAGGATACGCTGGATTATCATCACATACAGCTGAAAAACTTTTTTGCTGAAACCGTTCGCTACCTCTTGGCGATGGGAGATTTTGAACCGCTTGAAGTGTATTAGGATACACCATATTGTTCTCAGTCAAACGGTCTGAAGGTTGCTCTTTGAGTGTTTTAGCAGTGTTCAATAAATAAGCACTTGTATCTGCCGAAACAGAAATTTTAAAATTGAGGTTACTTAATACAACAAAGTCTAAATAACAAACTGAGAAGGGTTAAGCAATGAAAGGTAAATAAAGAACTATGGGTGGCATGTGAATACAAATAAGGTGAATACAAATAAGTGACAAAAATTAGAGAGAAAAAAGAATCTAACTTAATTAGTAGTGCTTACCCCGGAGTAACAAGCTCCCTACTGTTCTTTATTTTCCTTTAATTGTTTAACCCTTCTCAGTTTGTAATTTAGACCTTTGTTGTATTACGTAACCTCAATCTTAAAATTTCTGTTTTGTATATAAGTCGCAATCATTGTAAATAGCTTTTTAGTTTTTAATTTTTAACCTGAAGAAGGCCGAAAGGCCGAAACATCGTGCATTAAACTCGGAATTATATATATATATATATATATATTTATATACATATATATATATTTATATACATATATATATATATATATGTATATAAATATTATTCTAAACAGACATTTTCCGTTTCTCGGAAATTTTCAAAGTTATATTTAGTCTGCACAGTTCCAGGAATCGCAATCAATTCGTCCGTAGCCTGAGCGTGGGAAACAATCCGTGAGAAACTTCGATGAATTGAGATTATTGAACCATTAAAGGCGAAGATCCTGTTGATAACGCCGTTTTATAGCTCTAAGCTATAAACCACAAATAATACGAGTTAGACGACAAAATACACAAATAATGTCTGTGGAAACAAGAAGAACCTATTCTGTATGCTGATACTACAAACCAGACAGAGGGTAAGAAATTACTTTGTCACTAACATTTAAATTTTAGCAGTCAAGAACTCGGAATTCTTGTTACAAGCAGATATACTGCATCATTATTGAGTAGTAACTTATTGTGATATCCTATAAGGTCATGAGACAAGACGTGACACTTAATTTATGTGATGGTCATTTCGCGGGAGTGTTTAGTTTGGTGATGGTTTGCCTCTTTTTTTTCCTTCATGCTTATCGTTCGGCAATAATCGGAAACCCCGAAATCGAATTAATCGGAAACATTGGCGATTTTCCAGCCGTATGTGGTTTTGAAGATTCTAGCGATTTTTCAATCCACGAATAGAAAAGCAAGCTTGGTTGAATGGAAATTAACAAACTGACGTCGACAATATTTAGTCCACGAGCAGGGGTCAACGAAAACAGCAAATAATTTTCTGTCAGCAGCAGAGGGTCTAACATTTACATTGGTTACCATGATCAGCGAGTGGTGGAGTTTACATTTAAAGTGTTACATTTTATTAGCTGAACACTGAGAGTAAATTTTAGCTTTTTGCACCATACAATTAGTTTCTTTCCGTTTGCTATCTCGAAGGTGATATCAAAATGACTACGAAATGTTGGATCGATTCGTTTTAATATTCTCAAAACATCTAACAAGTCCTTCGTTTGTTATCCTCATCCACTGATCTCCACCAAAATCCACTCTCGTTCTTTCTTTATTCTTCACTCTTCCTTTTCGTATCTTGTGGTTTTCTCAAAGTTAACGATTTTGTTTTGGCTTTAAATTTCACAAACCAAAAACCGACCGCAAATATACAAATATATCTCTAATCATAGCAAATTAAAGACTTCATTGAAATAATTTTGATCGTCCTCTTTTTAAAGAGCATGCCATGAGATTTTTGGTAAACTTCATTTAATTTAAAATGGAGAGCTGGTTATTCATTCAAGGGGAACTTGATTTGGTTTTTAGTATTAATGGCCATTAGTTTGTTCATTCCAGAGTGTGATGTACTGATCCGCTCGCAGTGGCTCTATTCCTGTCAGTCCTTCATCCGGGTACTCTGCGTCAATACCGTATCCAGTTATGTACACCTTAGTGTCTGAAGGCTGCAAAAGATGGTAGATAATGTTTAGAGTCGGAGAATGGTCAACACAGTCAAAGCGAAACCACTCCTACTCTAGTTGAAGCTAACTAACGTGGGTACTTTGGTAGTTAGTTTCGATAAGAGGTCATACCTCTATTGGTTGCCAGTTGTCACACAACATTTCAAACCTTTTGAATGATACCTAATTTAGGATTTTGTGGAGAAAGTGAACACTGGGCATGAACATAACCTAGTTTCTTCCAGCGCCACCACTGGAATCATCTATTTGTACCGTCCAACTCAGAAGCTGGTACAGAGGGAAAAGATCGACCAGTTTTACATTTCGGAAATCGAGGCGAATTGCGAACAATTTAGACGACAAGGAAGTACCAAGTTGTGCCCAGGAAACCTTTTGGATATGAAGAAAATTTATCCTAGTTTTCACACTTTTCAAGAATTCATAATGATAAAGTCATGGGTCAAAGTTTTCAGAGTCACTGCGCAAAAATGAGACTTTACTTCAAACTGAAGGTGATTTCACATTTTCCCTCCATCGTGGAGTCAAAGTATCACTTGACACGGCACAGTATATGACGAGTTGTTCGGAACAAAACTCCCAAAATATGAAATAGCATCATATTTTCACCACTATGCCTCAGGATAAGATTCGTCTCATACTTGTACCCAGTCTCACGACTATTTTTGGAGCAAACTGTTGAAGTTTAATAAGTTCAAGTGAAGGTAAAGTTTTACTTTTCATGTTTTGAAGAAGAGCGAAGTACGTACGTTGGTACTTAAATGCACTGATACAAATACTATCTTCATGCAAACAGCAAAAACCCAGGTAACTTTTAAAAAAAACCAAAATAAAACCACAAAAAAAACAATTTAAAAGTTGCTTGCCTGAATTTTCTCCACATATTCAACAACCTCTGCAAACTAAAGCAAGAGAGAAATGTTTAATGGTAGTAGGTTGACAAGCTTCTTATGTTCACAGTAAGCTTAAAGACCTCTTGAGGTTGGTCCCTCCTCAAAAGGTCTAGCAAGCACAAACCTAGCGTATGCGAACACAACAAGATAATTGATGGGGACGTGAGCCACTTGGTAATTAATTTTCTTATCTTCTTATTTACATCTAACCGAGAAAAAAAAATTGCTAAGCTAAAAGCAACAATTAAATCAACAGAAATATCTTCAACGATTTCTGCTTACATCAGGCTTTGTATCAGGAACCCATTACTAATGGCCCATTAGTAATGGTTCCTGCTTTGTATTAAGACTCTTCAATAAACCTTTACAAGATCCATGTTGTTTTGTTGGAGAGTTTTTAGTTAAGAACAGACCAGTGTATATATGACTAAGTTTTCGGCGTTTCTTGGTTCTCTTTATGAAATTATAACTTTATTTTGAATAACTGAAAATAAAGTACCTACCGAAGCGTGTTCTTTAGTGCCATTATCCCTTGCATCAACAATCACGGTCGAGGCCTGAAAGAAAAACTCGAATACGTCCTCCTTGAAGCCAGAGTTTACGCAGTAACCAAGAATTGGTTCCTCTTTGAAGTAGAGCACAAATCCTTTGGAAAAAAAACTTAAAGTGAAAACTCAGTCTCATGTGCTTTCTGACTTGAAATATCAGAGATGAAAAGCGGGTTACAGTATCAGAGGTGAGGGGCATTTCTAAATAAGAATTTATTTCGCTTGTGATGCGCTGGCTGACATTTAAATTCCTGCCAGCTTATTTTTTCCCGGTATGGAGATGCGAGAATTAAACTGGTCTTGCCTAACAGCACAGCTCCATGACCTAACCCACTTCTCAAAAGGGATTTCTTTAATTCTATAGTGTGACTTGGACCTCCATGTTTTCAGCCATCGTGTACCAAAACCTACTACTACTGTCTTGTCGACACAAACGATTATTCTGTTGAACGCTGAAGCCTACCATAACAGATTTCGCTATGAAGCGTCCTGTAAGTTTTGATAAAAAACTGTTTATCATCATCCAAGTAGGTTGGGCCTCCATCTTGTTCACACGCGAGCCAGTCTGCAACTTGTTCCTGCACGGAAGAACAAGAAAAACACGTTTTAATTGCTATGTTTCATACCTTGCTTTAACTTGGCTGATGTAACAGACAATTCCTTCCGAGAATAGGCCATAACGTACTTACTTAACACTTATACCAGAATTTAAACGAATCAATTGATTTAGATAGATATCATTGTGGTCGGTATGTGATGTTCTCTGTTCGCGACTGGTTTTGTAAAAGGCATCTCCTTGCAACACGAACACTGATGAATGACTTAAGCATGAAACATTTAACACAGAACCATTTAGACAATTTACACGGAAGCAACTCTCCTTTAATTTTTTCCCACCGAAGAAAGAAGTCACAAAGAATACTCAGTTTGATGAATTTCACTCCCTTTGTGCATATTACCTTTGTTTGCGTCAAACTCGATGAAGTGTAAGAGTGATCTATGACTTACTGGTGTATATAGACTGAGCATCTCGTCCAATCTGTATGTCTTCAGTTTTTGTTGCACCTCAGGGCCTGACAGCACCCTCAAGCGACGTTCGCCGGCCGAACGTCTCCGCTTGCTCTCAAATTCGAAGAGCAAAGGCAGCTCACCAGCATGATCCAGGTGGTTGTGTGTGATAAAAACATTCCTTGGGAACTGGTTGTAAGCTGGAAATGCAAAATAAGGGTGTCCAAAGAAAAATGACTTTTGGTGTTTATTTCACAAAACTCAACTACTAGGGGTGGTTTGTGGCGTAGGATTTAATACAAACAGACTTTAAAAAAATATATTGAAAAAGTAAAAGGAACGCAAAAAAAAAAAACGGCAGTGACAAATCAAGGAAGAATGATAGAGAATTGTGCTGACCGAGTCTCTCCCTACACGCTTTGACGACGCCGGCTCCAACATCCGCCATGAGCAAAGGTTTTCCTCTGTGAAATACAATTGCAGAAGAGCTTGGCTGGCCATGAAGGACGGCTGAAATCAGTTTTAATTAGTGTTATGAGTAAACGACACTTTATCATTTCCTATGTTTCATTTGGATGTACGTTTTACACCGAACAGGGAGGTAGGGGGAGTGAGGGAGGTTGGGATGTGTTTGTGGTTGCCATTTTTTTATCCTTCAGTGTGGTCACGCTATTAGTCGTTAATTATATTAACTATATCCTTGTTTTGATGGTTAACAAGCCATGCATTGAGCAAAAAACATGGAAATAAGGCAACTTTAGACCGCCAGTACTAAGTACTAATACATGCCTTTCACGAGTAAATAGTTAGGCATAAAAGGCCACAGTATGTTTACAGTTATAGGATCTAGGAGTAGAATGGTGGAGATGAGGGAGGAATTCACTGCTGTCCATACTGGGTTGACACTACGACTTATAGATAAGTATAGAGCAGAGTAGATCTACTCTACTCTGCGAAGACCAAAATCATGTCGTTGTATCAATACCCGTTGTGTCTGTCCCAGTTCCAACGCAGTACAGCTCCACTGAATTTTTGCGTGTAGATGTTTTTCCTCTCAGTATGTTGAGGACAACATGCATCTCTGGACGTGATTTCTCTGGCTGCAGACACTCGTCCATAATTTTCTTAAGCTTTAAGGCCAGTTCCTCTCCAAATTCTTCAACAGAAATACACTGAAAGAAAAATGTGAGTCGAAGTTAACAGAAGATATCGCCAACGAATCAAATGACAAAGAATGATAATGTATAAATGTACACATTGTAATTTCAAACACCATCATTTACAGTGATAGATCCAATGCCCAGCTGTACTAAATTACAAATCATTCCACAATGATCCTTAACAATTTCTAGCCCTTTACACAGTCAATAGTTACCGGAATGGTCGGTTTCTCTCCTTTTCCTTTCATTTCTAACACCACTTTATGCTGCAAAATGTTATCAAACACTACCTTACCACTCAGCACTTCAATCAAACACAAACCTAACGGGAGAAGAACAGACAGGTAACTGATAAGGTAGTTTTGATGTTATTTTCCCACTGAATCTTGAGTAAACTGTTTAAAATTAAGATCGAAATAAACTCATACAGACTGGACCACAAGCTTTGAACGTCAAATAAAACTGTTTACTGCCGCTTTTGCTTTGCCAACACGAGACCTAATGTTTTCAAATAGGGAGAGTTTTTCAAAAACTCATTTGTCCAAATTTTGTCCCTTGATCTTCTTCGTAAAACTTTCTGTTCTTTAACTGGAACGGCACTTGTTTTATCTTTAATCGCTTTATCCGGCTTGTTAAAATGATACAATCTTGCAATTGATGCTAATCATAATCAATTCAAGGTAAAAGGTTGCAGATATCTTGTGGATCGGAGCTATTTTAAGTTGATAGCGAAATTAAACTAAAACGAAACAGAATCACTCTAATGTAATCGCAATTCCGTCGAATTTATTTTTCAAAGGTTTTCGTCTACTTCCCACCAAAAGGCGATCTATATTGGACTGTCTGATTCTTATCCTTATCTTATCTCTGATTCTCTGGTCTTAGTAAAATAACAAACAGGCAAACAAAACAGGGGGAAAAACAGCACGCTAGTCAACGTTAGATCATCATCGAGGCTTACCAAAACTGTGAACATCAGCTTTCTTAGAGTAATGTCCCCGACTGCTGAATACTTCAGGTGCTGTGTAGCGATACGGGCCAATCGGGGTTTTTGTTTGACGTGTCCCTTCAGTTGCGCGAGCAAGACCAAAGTCTCCGAGTTTGAGTACTGTGTGGTCAACTGACAGCTACGAAGCAATGGGGTATAGAACAGACTTACTCAAACTAGCCACATCACGACTATGAAAATGCGATCTGCAAAATTAACTCAAACTCTTTGTACAGGAAAAAACAAAATCCTTGCGAATTTTTTGAGATGACTACACAAGATGGTAACAAACACAACATATAAAAGGAAGGCTTTCTGTACCTTGATAAATATCATCGTTTCATCTCTAAATGGTGCAGTCTATGATAGAGACAGTGATATTATCACACTTACAAAAATGTTGTCAGGTTTAACATCTCTATGCATGATATTGAGCGAGTGAAGATGCTCAATGGCAGAGCCAACATCCTCTGTGAATCTGATTGTAAAATCTTTCCCCTGTCCGGTTCCATAGTTTTTCTCAAGGTAGGCTTTTAGATTTCCTCCCGCCATGAACTCCATCACAATTGCCAGCTGATTCTGGATAGAGATGCATTCAAAGATCTTTACAATGTTGGGATGCTTTGCCTCCCTGAAGAAACAATTCATTGAAAAAAAGTGCTGTGAAATTCGTCCCTCACTAGGTGGTGCTGTTTGTCAGCGATTAATATCGTGGGAAGAATAGCAAAGTGTCAATTCAAGAATAGGCATGTAAAAAACCAAAACAAAACAAAAGAAACAGATGGATTCGAGTCTGTTAGAATATCGAACCTCCTTCTTTTTTTTTAAAAAAAAACATACGAGCGTACTCTATACCATTACTTTTATTGAGGTCACAATTATACAGAAGACATGCAAGAATTATCTACTTTAGTTGAGGAGATATACGTTTGCACGGTTAATCAGGCAGGCCATCACCGACTGAGTTTAATAATTCAACAGTTCACGGACGAACATGTTTTAATCCTGAAGGGAAGCCAAGAAGTGGACTTTGATTTCTATCGATCAGTTGGAGAGTTGGTGCTTTCTAAGTATCTTTGATCTTAAGATATCCCGGCACTGAGGCCAGAAAAAATCAAATTCGATATGTTTTGACACACCTTGTGGCATTGTAAGGTTTGAGGTTGAGCTAACTACATATCAACGTGCATATTTCATATGTAGAGTTCTACAAAGATCATTATTGTTCCAACCTCAGTGTGTCCACTTCTCGTTCAAAGTCCTCTATTTGTTTGCGGCGTATACAATCCTCTATTTCTTTGCGGTCTACAGAATTTTGAGTTTCTTGGGGGTTCTCAATGTTCTTCAAGATCTTTACAGCCACGTCATGACCGCCCTTCTTAGCTTTGAAAACCTGGCCAAAGCTGCCTTCACCGATTCGATCGAGATAGCCTGCGTCCAGTTTACTGATCACTTTCTGGCTTATGCGAGTCAATGTTTCTAGTGCCGCTAGGTCTTTTTCCTGTAAAGATAAAAGCAAGGAAGGCGATGGTCAGGTTAACTTTTGGTAGCTTGACTAGAACTATTGGTATTCTCCCCGGCCGGGAGGCAGATCACTGCATGTAGCCATCCAGCACTGAAGGGTTTGGGAAGGTATTGGTAAACTTGAGCTGCTCATGGTCTCTTGGTGGAGAGAGGTGCTATGATGTCAGACAGTTAAAACAATGAGCCAAGATTATTTATGGAGCAGGTGACACAACCAATATTAGTAACTTGCTCTAAAATTGTCTATTTTTAAGGGTCTAGAAACGCTAGGAAACCATAGATACTTTACCTCGATTACCTTACTAGTGGGGAAAAATAACAGCCGAGACTAAACGTGACCCACCACGGGAAAATGTGTCATTAGGTGAATGTACGATTGATTTTAAATGTAGGACTATTTCTGTTTTAACGCTACTTGTTAAAGGACAAGCACAGCGACAATACTGTTGAACGCCTTCTCTCAACAGTACGCACACACAACATTGCACTATCAGTAACATGTAACCTCATAAAAAGTGAGTTATTTCGTGAAAAACGCTCATTCGCACCGTGTTCTTTGAAGCCCAGGCAATTGATACGTTGCCCAAGCCAGCATTCAAATCTCATGGTAATCTCGCAAGGAACTCGAACAAATCAGCCCTGATCTAAATTTAGTGAATTATAGAGTAAACCTGCTAACTGCATACAAGGGTGTTAGCAAACTCTGAACATCATGTTTAGGAGCATGAAGATGAAGCAACATACGTCAATTGCATCAATGTTGAATTTTTCTTTCATCTGTGCGTTTTCTTTCATAATTGCTGTGGCGAGTTTCAGAATGGAATCTTCGTTGTTCCAGGCGTTTGCACGGCTTCTCTCGTACACCTTTCGTTTATTCAACACCTCATCCCCGTTAATGTTAATCAGGTGAGCGGCGAACTTTCTTTCTTCAGGAGATGAGGCTGTTTCAGCGTAGCAAATAGCTTCGTCTGTTCCCCCTGTGCCATAGGAAAAGGAAAATACGGAAACAAACAATCAATGAGAAAAGCGAACGAAAGCTATGAAGACTTTGGCCACCAACATCAATCCTTTACCTCAAACCTTTAAGACACAATGCCCTACTACACTAAATTGAGAGTATTCAAATGATGTAATATAATTTTAACCATTTTTTCCATTTTTGTGCGAAAGCATACTTTCATTTTAACAAATACTGAGACACAACCTTTGCAATGTTAAACTTACTTGTTTTACATGTGGGCCAGGCCCAACCTGTTAAACAGGTACAGCGAAAATCACTGGCATCATTATGACAGCATATGTATATTTGTATATATATATATATATATATATTTACATATACCTATATTTGTTCATTGTTTGTCCAACCTTGAGATATATATATATAATGTGTTTTCTTTCTTAAGAGAGACAACTTTCCATTCAGCTGTTATTTGATTTTATTCTCTTCTGTCTTAAGAGAGATAACTTTTCATTCAGCTGTTAATTGATTTTATTCTCTTTAAAGATATCAGAATATATACCCATGCATGTATTTCCATGAGCTATCATTATCCCTGCTATTCAGTTTAAGAGCAGTGCTTTAACGTGACTTTTCAGGTCACAAAAAAGAAGCATGTCATCGTATTTTGGACTCGGTAAATAAATAACCTGTGAGGCGGATGAGAGCAAAGGTTTCCTTCTCGACCTCCTGTACTTGGTAAGTTTCCTGATCACCAACAATGTGAATTACCAAGTTGCTATCACTTCGCATCAATGACTTAGAAAGCAGAACGGCCCTTGCGTATTTACTGATAGAAATCTTGCACTTTTGCAGGATTTTCTTCTTTTCTTCGTCAGACGGAGGAGGTACCTTCTCTACTTGTTTCCATCCTCCTATCTCCTTCTTCACTCCATGGTAGAAGAACAATGCAGTGACCTTGGTGTTTGATTTAGTTATAAGCTGTGATCATAGAGAAGAAACCTCCTTAGTCAACTTCCATGCATCAAAGGAAAGATCCTACAACGACCATCACAACATTTATTCACCTTTATTAGATTGTCACGCCTTCCTTTCATTGCATCCAACGTCCGCTGGACCTTCTCCTCGGAGTAAACGCCTAGATATGAAATGAAGAAAGCTTAGGCTGTGCAGCCAAATGAAAAGTATTTGTGAGGATCTCTCTTCTATACTTTCTACTTACCACGCCCTAAGAATTTTCATCCTTCATCTCAGTCCCTTTTTTAGCTTCGTTGTCTTTCTTTACCTTTTTCAGATATCCCATTTTAACCACCACAAAGGCAAAAACACTAAACCAAAAACGGACTTTGAAGCAGTATGGACGGGTGGTCAGGGCGTTGGGCTTGTAATGTGGTGGCTGCAGGTCAAAGCCCTCCTCTCAGCTACTCACTGGAGTTGTTCTCGCTGGCACCGAGTTCAACTCCTTGGCTATATTTTTTATAAAGCACCTTGTCTGCCTCCTACTAGATGATTATGTTTATTTATTCATTCTCTTATTTATCCGTATTGTCCCTATAAAGCCCCATGGGGGGGGGGGGAGGGTTGGTCAATCAAGTATTCATAAGCACACTCATACAGACTTAAAGTTTTAACTCTATTTTGAAAGTGAACTTAGTTGGCGCCAATAAAACGGCAACCTCACCAAAAGGATCTTTTGAAAATATGTCTTGGATGGTGGGACGTGAAATCTCTTCAAAGTACTCGTCAGGCGACAATGCGTTTGTAATATTAATGGTGTGAAATATTATCTCCGAGGCCTTTTTCTCCAGTGCGAGCTGTTGCTTAAGATATTCTTCCCTCTGGATCCGCAGGTAGGATCTTTCATACACCTGTTGGAGGAAATAGGTAATAAAATATAAATAAAACTTTTAAACTGAAAGATAGGTTACAGCAAAGCGTCCTAAAAAAAAGTTAGCTGATGGCTGGGTGCATGGATCAAAATCAGCTTGCTCTGCCAACAGGTGCGTCAGCGTCATTGTTTCGTTAGTTGGGTTTTGGATAACTCAGCCACCTGTAGAGACTTTTCATCAACTGTATCCAGTTTATGTTACCTGCCCTGGTTGTATTTCTTCTTGGATAGTTCCTGTACTCAAGAACTGCACGAATTCCCAGGGTTGTATGTTGGCCTTTAACGTTATAAGATTTCCATTTTCATGAAGGTCTGAGTCCTGGTAAGTCTCAAACTTGTAATGTTTTAACTGTTGAAGGAACGGAGCATAACGACAAACATATTGATTTCAAAGGAAATATGACGTAAAGTAAACATGCAGATAAAGTGAAGAAAACCACCTCGAGCTCTGCAAATTTCAACAGCTGTCTACCTTGGCATTAACTGCAAATTTTTGGAAGAAATTCTTGTACTCTGGGCGCTCGGGATCACAGCCAAGGAACAGGATAGATCTTTCGTTAAATATTTTCCGCATTAAATCCACTTCACGACTTTCAAGAGTGGTGCAGAAGTCCTCAAAGTACTTCTTGCTACTTGACTGAAAATAATCAATCAAAATGAGGAAAGCATATTCAGCGTTATAAGTACATCAATAATTGAGAGTAATAAAAAGCAGCAGTGTAAGAAGAAAGGCCACCGAAATAATTTTGCTACTGTTTGAACTCAATTACAGCTCGATCTATGGGTTTTCAGTGCTACATGGTCGGAAGTCTGCCCACTCCGCGATGTATTGTGACTACGACATCTTGAAATGGCAAATGACCAACCAATGGGACATTAAATGCCTGATACTTACCAACGCCCGCACGTTAAAACCGCAATCCCCAAAACACTTGATGATCAAATCTCTGCGCAGCTCTGGCCAGGACTGGTAGAGACAGTAAATCTGGAAGACAATAAGCAAAGTCGTTTAATAACCCGTCGAATGGCACCAAGTGACACGAAAGCCCATTAGTTCCTCCCCTTCTCACTTCGCACGTTCGTTCTATCACGTAGGGTCTTTTTTCGTCTAGGTTGATATTTAACGGGAAATGGGTAACTATCCAGAAAGCTATGGCAAGGAGAATCCATCTTAAAAGTTAGGATATGAGCCCAGCTGCAAATAATTCTCAAACGTGAAAGCTTTCATACATTCTTAAAAAATTTTTGTAAACCAACAACAAAGTTGTTTGGAGCGAGATGATCAAATACCGTCTGGGATATAGACGAACAGAGAATCATTCGTTTCAGAGAAATGCCCAAGGTAGAGCTTTATAGAGGAAAATCAAAGTAAGGCTGGGAAATAAAATCACTCTTATGTGAGAACTTTTAGGATCATAAGATCTCTTTTGACACAGGAAAAAAATACTTTGCAGCAGATACATTTGAGTCAAATCGTGTTCCTTTTTTACCAACCTGGTCCAGTCGCAGCTTCTCGCCACCGTTCCCAGTCCTCCAGAGAAAGCGCTCTAGCAACTCATCCATATTGGTGGTTATGATGAGGGGAAACTTTCCGACATTCCGTAGGGCATTGTGAAAACGTGACGGTGCCTGTTCAAGATCTCTCAGAAACTTGTCTTCGAGATCGAGAAGTGCATTCGTGCCTTTCTGCAAATTAAGAGACAACTGCAGAATTGTATCTTCATATGGGCAGTGAAGCCACAAGCAGAATCCTAGTGAGCTCTTTGTTAACATCAAAGCTTGCTTCAGGCAACATGTTATAATTAATCAAAATTATTATTAGAAAGGTCTGTGATTACTTATCGTGGAAAATTCACTAGTAATTAAGTATCGTAGTCTGTGATCTACCATCGCGGCGTTACCGCCTCAAGACGACTGGCACTATGCCACTGAAAATTCGTGATCTTCATCAGAAGTGACTTAATTTTGAGAGAAACGATTGTACCTCACAAGAGATAATTAACTCTTCTACTTAACTTCTTCTAACATATTGGCTGTTGAAACAAATTTAGCCAAACAAATGTTGAGTCGCCTAGTTAGGTCTCGTAGCAATCTTGGTCGGTAGTTGCTTTTCGGATGTGCAAAATCTTCCTCAGGGACCAGCCGGTATTTATCTCGGGGTGTGTGTGTGTGTGTGCGTGTGGGTGGGGAGGGGGGGGGAGATTTAGAGGACTATGGTTGTGTCATAACCAGATTTACCTAATCCTTCCCCTAAGGCTCTGTAATATTCTAATTATCCTCCCAGATTGGCTGTTAGTTGGTAGTCAATTTTCTATAGTCCCTCCCTTTATACTCTGTTGGCGACTACTGATCCCCCTTCTTCCCCCCTAAAAACCATGTGATCCCTTACAAAATCCGCCACACTCTCCCCTTCCCCAATAAACAATGATCGGTCCCAGACGAGAGTGTATCCGGAGATACTCCGTTTACAACTACGACGTTAGTCCTAGATTGTGTACATTATGCATGTCTGTCATCACGTTCTCGATGCCTTTTGATGGCGAATCAATTTGAAGATCAAGTCAGCCTCTTGTTCAGTAAATTAAGCTGAGTGGTCTTCCACTCAGAATTTCGCATTTTTTGATGGAAATTGCTAATTTCTAATTTCACTGTAATTGCAATCCTTAGGTATTGTTCTTTCATTCCTAGCTCTTTTTTTAAAGAAATTTACCATGCGAAAGTGAAATTTCGGCGAAATTCTTAAAAGGGTATGCACTTTTTCGTTGGCAACGGCCATGGTAACGGTTTGTTTACATGGAGAAACAAGGAAAAAAGCCAAGCGCAGTTCACCGAACCGAAAAAAAAAAACTTACCCTGGTACCCCTCCCTAGAAGAAGGGTCTTCATTTGACTTGTTTGGGGCATTTGAAGTTGCCATAAGTCAATAAGGAACGTTTCGAAAGATCCATTCATGCTCGATCCGCCATTTTGGTTGCGTACACGTGCTTTTCATATTTCACTGTCGCACTTTCACGAAAATTTTTCCGTTTAATAGGTAAATCATGCCGAAAGTTCGCACTGGATATTGTAAAAAGCGTAGATTTCATGGAAATCAGCATTCAAAGAGGAAACATACACGCGCAAGCGAAGGTGATGGGATTCCTTCGACTGCAGACACAAATACCAAAACATCTGCCTCTTCTCCAAAAATTCCGCTCCGCAAGCAGTCCGAATCGTCTAATCGTAAAGCACCTAGTACAGATCCATCCATTACAGGCTTTCGTTTAGTCGACTTGGAAATATTGGACTCTGTTCAGAATTTTGCCGTGTAAGGAGTCCTTCAAATGTAGTTTGGTCTTGCAAGAGCAAACTCTTAAACGGAAAGGATGTGCCAGCCATCTTCGCTTGTTTTGTGTCTCGTATGGCTAGATGAAGGACTTTATCACGTCTTGGTATCACACCAAAGTCCCTAATCAGCGATGTTTTGAAGTGAACAGGAGACTTGTTTATGGCATGCGATCAATTGACTGTGGACTCGCAGCAGCGAAAGGATTTTGCAGGCTAATGAACATGCCTCAACCTCCAAGGCAAACACCGTATGCCTTGCACAACAAGGCGTTGCTCAAGGCAGCTAAAGCAGTTGCGGTGGAAACAATGACCAGTGCTGCAGAAGAAATCCACAGCCTAAAACCAGCTTTCCAAGATGGGTTGGTAAAGTGTGATGCATCTTGTGATGGCACCTGGCAAAGAAGAGGTTTTTCCTCTTTAAATGGTTGTGTCACTGCCATCAGCATGGACACTGGAACAATTCTGGATGTTGACCCTCTAAGCAAAGTGTGTAAGAAGTGCAGGGAACATGAAAATGATGCTGAAACCCCTGAAAATGCAGGATGGAGGGCAGAGCATAAGCCAAAATGCCAGGCCAATTATCAAGGATCAGCCCCAAACATGGAACCTGAAGGTGCCATGCGTATCTTCTCTTGCTCAGTACAGAAACACAAGCTTTTGTATTCAGAATATAATGGAGATGGTGACAGTAAGAGTTACAATTTAATAAAAGAACTGTGTGCCATTTATAGTGTACAAGTGCAGAAGAAGGAATGTGTAGGACGTGTACAAAAGAGACTTGGCATGATAGACAAGTCACAAGTTACAAAATTACTATCGTACAAAAAAGACTTGGCATTGCTTTGTACAAATTGAAGAAGGAGAAGAAAGGAATGGGTGGTAAAGGAAGATTAACGGACAGCATGATAGACAAGTTACAAAATTATTATGGTATTGCCATCAGAAGCAATTCTGGTAATCTTCCAGCTATGAAGTCAGCTATTCATGCAAGTTTGTTTCATTGTGCTTCCTCAGCTGACAGAAAGTTGCATTTGCAGCATTGCCCAGAGGAAAGACACAAAATCAGAATGAGGCCCTTAATGCTGTGATCTGGGAGAGAGTACTGAAGAGTGTCTTTGTTGGCCCTGAGACCTTGCAGTTGGGAAGTTATGATGCAGCAGCCCACTTTAATATTGGCTGTCAGGCTTCTATAAAGCTTCTGGAGGAACTTAGAATTTCTCCTGGCAATTATTGTACAGGTGAGGCTCAGAGAGCTGATTCAGTCAGAGTTCTAAAGGCCAACTACAAAGAGCAAGGAGTCAACAAATTTCAGCAGAGATTGCTCCACTGCAAAAGAAAGAAAAAACTGACAAACAACAAGAAAAGGAGAGAGATACTTATGTACCTGGTGGATTTTAATGTGTCTATTGAAAATTAGCACAAATTATTGCTTTCCATGACAATGGCTACTCTCATGTTACAACTCAAAACTTTAATTCCAGTTTTCTCATTTTTGTAAGTTTGCCTTAATAGCCAGTATGACAAGAAGGATATCTTTACTTCTTTTAGTGCAATTGAACTGAAATTTTCAGTGACTTCTCTCTTGTATTTGTGCTGTGATGTGAACCAAAAAAAAGGCAGTTGTATGAAAGTGCATGAATCTCATTTCAATTTTTGAGAATGATTAGGGCCAAAATATTGTTCCTCTCAGATACAAATTGTTATTGTTCTGAAAGATACTTTGATAGTTTACTTTTTGAGGTTTATATCATAGAACAATCATTATAGTTGATTTTGATACCATTTATAGGTAAATGGGATCTCTGGTTCTTTAGATATTATTGTTAGCAGATATGTACCTTTTTTCTCCCTTGAGGGTCAGGAAACTGGTTGCCATGGTTTCAAAATGTCAATCACTGGTGCAGTTCGCAACACTTTTGGATGATGTTTCCAATGGTACCATAATGAATTGGACCCAGTTAGTATTGAAAATTTTTAAAATGTGGTGGAAGACCACCTTATTAAGCTGCCACCTTTACCAATCTCAATGAATTTCTTAGCGTGCGTTGCTAGCGGTCTGCAGTTTTGGGGGGAGACAAAAATGAAATACCTATCATTTTTCTCTCTGCCCCCAAAACCGAAGACCGCCAGCAACGTAAGCCATGAATTGTTGAATATGAGTCCAGCGTCCTAATAACCTCACTTTCGGCTACACAATAGACATTTTTACCTCAGAATGATTGACAATCTGCCACCAGTCATCTAATGAGGGGTCATGCCTATCCGTGCTGACTAAAGTCGATACTTGTTCGCCAACAAAGAGCACGAGCTTTCCTTCTACAATCTTCGAGCGAATGGCTTTGAGTTCTTCAGACAATAGTAAGCGAACATCTGACTTCTGGTTTTCCATTTCAATAGTTGGATGCGCAATTCCTGACCTAAAACAAAAGAGAGGCAAAGCACTCAATGCCTCGGCTCTTCCTTTTTCTTTGTGTGGACACATGCTATCTGTTCCAATTTTTTTTCTTTAACCTTTTTTCGGTATTTGAATGGAGAACGGGAAAAAGAGTGCAATGACTTGCTGTCAGATACTCAAAACACGAAAGAAATAAAGCATTATCTAGAACGTTTCTCGTAAACGGGCCCCTTCTTCCTCCAAGGGCCTTTCCTCACTATCGAAAAAGTTGTTTATTTAGACAAATTTTCTGTCATCACCAACATTTTACGAGTGCGGATGGTTTTTCGCGACTTGAAAAATTTTGGCCGAAGCGAACAAATCTTCAAACGCACCACCGACAAAATTTGTCTCGGTAAAAACTGGAGGAAATCGACTAAATAAATAAACTTGTCGATCATTTGTCGTAAACGCTACGACAAACGTGTTTTTTTGGGGCTGTCCTGGTGTACCGGTACACGGGGGAATTCCTATTGTTTTCATATCCATACATGGAGTTGTGACGCAGTTCGTTAATGTTTCGTTCCTTTGTGTACCGGTACACGAGGACACAACCTGTTTTTTTTTTTTTTAAGACCTTTTTACAGTTCCAGGCGCCATATTGGATTAGTAACCGTGCACACACGATAACGAGGCTGGGGTTGACCCGGCGGTTCTTTCAAACAGCTCAGATCGGATCTGCTGACATTTCACGTTCTAATGCACTTTTCAATGCGATTTCTCCCTTCAAAATGGTTCTTTAATACAACAATATGTAAATTTCGTCATTAGATGACATCCAGAAACTCGAAGCAAAAGATCTCAGGGAGATTTTAAAATCTAATTCAAAATCGAGGGGCGGAATTAGAGCCGACTTAGGGTCGAAAGTTTATGCTTTGCTGATGTGACACGTCCTTCTATCAAGTAGTGGAGAAAACCGAGAACTTCTTACAGGTGTCCAGGACCTAGAACAAAACCAGAGGGACTTCAAATACGAAGCAACTATGGTAAGGATTTCAGCCCTTGGATGGTCGAGCGATCTCCGTAATTTACCTGAGATTAATTTCATTCAGCTTTACGATTACCTTGTTGTTTCACGAGAATAACGCCACATCGTGTTAAGAGGAACGCGCCACAGGAAGTACCACAAAAGTTGTTCAGTATGGCTTAGAAAGTGAGGCAAAGGCTGTAGCCCTCTAGGTAGAGGAGATTTGTATTGCTGCTGTTGTTGATGTGGTACTTGTTGTCGTACCATATTCTTCAGTTAAAGTTGTTCCCATTTTGTTTACCAAGATGTATTTTAGTTTGCCATTTGTACATTGTATCTTATGGGAAACTATACAATAGAGCCTGTACAGCCACTTGATTATAACCTTCTTTCTATTAACCCATGAAGGAAACTGTAACTAACAGATGTCATAATATTTTGAAACCCATCTGGCCCAGGACAACTTATGCCCGTAATACATTGAAAACCATTTGAGTTCGCACTCATGGTAATTTACTAGGTGGCAAGACAATATTGAAAGAATCAGACCAAAATATTAGACAATTTAAAAACTCCCAAAAGTGACTGATTCATGTAACTTCTCCCTATAATATGATAATACTGAAACTTATCAGGCAGAAGTTATCTTGATCTTACATCAGACTCTCATAACTTATTTACAAGTAAATGTGTAACAACTAGAAGGGAGAATTAACAATCAGATCTTGGGTATTTAAGGGTTAAAGGGAGAGAGCAGAAATGCTTCCTCTCAGCTACTGATCTCAGCAATGCTAGTCCTTCACGCACATTTAAGTTTCTGTCAGTGATAAACATTCAGTGAATTGATATTCCCATTCTTAGCACTCAGAGGCCTTCTGGCACAAAGGTTTGCTATACTAGTTCTTATTGCCTTGTGTTAACCAATGTTATGATAATATAATTTTGAGATACTTAAAAGATTGAGAAGCATATCCAAATCAAGATATTTATTTTATACTGTTACAGTTACCATAAGATTTGTTTGAAAGAGAATCTTTCAGACCATTGAATTGTATGAGAAATTATTTTTTGCAAGACTTCTATCAAACTTCTTATTATGAGGACAATTTTGTGAATATAAAATTTAGTGTCAGTTCATCTTTGTGTTGAGAACTCATTTAGTTGGTGAAACTCACTTTTTCTTTTTTCCAGTTTGAAGCATCAAATTGATTGATACATAAAGCACACAAAATATTTTGTGAGAGTTCCATGTGGCATCCATAGTGGATTACTATGCAATCATGAAAAACAAAAACAACAACTACTGAAAACTGCTTTTGTCACAATTGCTACCAAATTTGTGTCAGTTTTCTGGGTCTGCCATAATAAGTGAAAACTCTGAAGAAACAGTGTCTTGGTTATTTTATTAAAAGCAATTACTTTCCAAGAGTTTCTCTGCTAGGAGTGTTTTAGGCAAGCCATGTAGTAAACTGGTGAGCAGTACTGAACTTATTGACTTACTGCCGCAATGAAAAAAACAATAGTCACCCTCATCCATAATTCACAGAGAATAAGATAAGTATAGAACGATAAATACCGAGTCCTAAAATGCAAGCCGATCTTAGTCGCCAAAAGGGACGTCATGGTCCCAGGCGTTCCTTGTGTAAACCGCGGAAACTGGGGATGAGAGTGCGACAACTGTTGTTACCATATGCTCGCTCTTCGTAAAACAACATGATTTATAGAATGCTGTGTCTTCTGAAAAACGCTTTGCAAAGATTCCTGCCTTATACGCTCGTCTCACATACAAACGCATACGCTGTTCGTGGTAGGCCCACTCTAAATGATGTCGAGCGTTTTCGTAATGGGCCGGTCCACGAACTCTTTAGCTTAAAAGCTAGCCGAATGTGCAAAGTTCATACTAGTTCTCACGAGATAAAAAATGATCCATATGTGAGTTCAAACTACGAAAATACTGGCAAAAATGTGAAAGCCGATTTAACAACAAACGGTAAACTTACCGCACAGCCCCATCATACATTATGCATTCAGTTCTTAGATAGAGAAAAATGACAAAAACAATATATTGCCATTGGGAAAACAGATTTTTTCTAATAAAAAAATGAAGATACTGACAGAAGCACCTTGAATAGTAAGGTTAAATATCTCAGCTCAGCTCTTCCGTTAAATATTTTGTTTCTGTTATTAGTTTTTATTGGGTTCAATATTTGTAAAGTACGATTTGGTATTTCGTACATAACCACTATTATTATTATTGTACAAGTGATCGTGCTGTTGGTTTGCTCTTCGCATGGAGTTGACTGTGCTCAGTAGAAGACATGATGAATACTCTTGATGACTGTGGTCACGACTAGAAAAAGTTGTCAATATGACTAATGTACATGAACGTAATGATGGTACAATGTCAATAAAAGTACAACAACTCCGATCTCGTTATGTAAAGTATGTATATTATAATTGTACTCATGTTTTGTGTGAATGCCATGGCTATAAACGTGACCGTGAATCAAGCAGAGTACCAGTGAAGATGTTCCAACGTCTCTCTCAGAAAAGTATAAAACATCAGAGTTATGCACGGAGCCGTTTAAGTAAAACTGTACCAAAGTCATCGAAAGTCCATGATCTTATTAAAAATAATGCAACACGAAAGAAAATTACACATGAAACAAGAGTCAGGTTTGTACAAAAAATGAGAAGGAAACCAAATTTTAGAACAAGAAACGTTAGCTCTTCAATGAGATAAGTCTACAATTCAAGTAGAGGTAAACATGGAAAGAAATATCTCAAATACATGGGGTTCTTTTCGTGTAATTTTCCATATAGTGAGTGCAAGGGTGTAATTCACAGAGGCAATTGTACAATGTATGGAAACTCGATAGTGTCGCGCTCAACTGGAAAGCGTAGTATTTACAACATACTTTACGAACGACCCCAGCACCGGAGTGAATAGAAACATAGCCGGTGCACCGCCTCAAAAAACTCGAGGAAAGAGACGTCCCGATTTTTTTGCGAGTAGGGAGCAGCTGTACTCAAGCTAATAAATATTGTAATTCACACGAGTAATTAAACTGACAGTTAGCACAAATAACCGTCAAAAAGTGGCACTGGAGTGACCGATATCGAAAATTCCCCACCTAGGTCCTGGCTGTAGTGTCGTATAAATTTTACGCGTGGTGAATGCTCAAGTAAAACGCTTGACACGAAGCCCGAGTGAACGCTCCTCAAGCGTCTAGTTTGAATACTTCCGCGAAAATTGATTCTTAGAAGATACATAAGGGATAAAATTTTCTCATATGGTAACACTTCTGTACCAATTGTGCAAGGGAATTTTCGTATAGCAGTGGTGAAATTCAATTCAATCGTGTCTTCAAAAGTTAAGGTATTACGACTTAATCTTACACGTATCTTATTACACGTTTTGGTGTATAGTCTCTCTAAAATTACTTAGCGATACTACACACCAAAACGTCTAATATGTTATTTTATTATCCAGCTGCTTTTTTCTCTGCTAAGTATTTCTGTTCATTTCTCATAAGGCGGGAAAAGCAAAGCAGAGAGGGAAGCGTAGGGCGCGCAGCCAACTGGTCAAACAGGTTTTTTCACAGTACAAAATAACCAACTGTTTAAATAACGGTGCTGTATTCGCGCGTCATTTGTACTCTACTTTGTGCGGTTGGATAATAATGTGAAACATTTTTGCGTTTGGTCGATCTCTTTTTACTTTAATTAGTTATTTCACGGACGTGCACCGACACCTTAGTTGATGTAAATGTGCGGTTTTAGTCTTGAAGGAAGAGACTTAAACCATTCTTGAGCGCTTTGAGTAAAAGAAAGAGAAATTGAATTACCTTTCTCTCCGGTTCTTATACCTATGGATGTCAGCCGTTTCTCTCTTCCAACTTTAAAATGAGAATGAAAAGTTTTCACTTTCCAAACAAGTAGGGATTTTTCCCGGAAGACTTTCGAAATCAAGCTCGATTTGATTTTTGCGTTTGGTCGATCTCTCTCTACTTTACTCAGTTATTTCACGGACGTGCACAGACACCTTAGTTGCTGTAAATGTGTGATTTTAGTCTTGAAGGAAGAGAGAAACGAGAAATGATGGGGTCTCGGTCCGTAAGCCTCCTTCAGGTTAATTTGTCCGGAATTACTAAATCTCTAGAGTTTCATTTGCGTGACCGACACCTTAGTTGATGTAATTGTGTGGTTTTAGTCTTGAAGGAAGAGAGAAACGAGAAATGATGGTGTCTCTGCCATTCAGCTTTCTTCGGGTTACTTTGTCCGAAATTACTAAGTCTCTAGAGTCTCATTTGCGTGGCAGACGAGAACACAGATTTTCATCAAATTACTAAGAAGGCTATGATAATTTCAAATTCCATTCTTAAAATACTGTGTATATTTAAAACATACTTGAGCGCTTTGAGTAAAAGAAAGAGAAATTGAATTACCTTCAGAATATGTCAGCCGTTTCTCTCTTCCAGCTCTAAAATGAGAATTAAAAGTTTTCACTTTCCAAACAAGTAGGGATTTTTCCCGGAAGACTTTCGAAATCAAGCTCGATTTGATTTTTGCGTTTGGTCGATCTCTCTCTACTTTAATTAGTTATTTCACGGACGTGTACAGACACCTTAGTTGCTGTAAATGTGTGATTTTAGTCTTGAAGAAAGAGAGAAACGAAAAATGATGGAGTCTCTGTCAGTAAGCCTCCTTCGGGTTAATTTGTCCGGAATTACTAAATCTCTAGAGTCTCTGCGTGGCCGACGAGAACACAGATTTTCATCAAATTTCTAAGAAGGCTATGATGATTTCAAATTCCATTCTTAAAATACTGTGTATATTTAAAACATACTTGAGCGCTTTGAGTAAAAGAAAGAGAAATTGAATTACCTTTCTCTCCGGTTCTTATACCTTTGGATGTCAGCCGTTTCTCTCTTCCAGCTTTAAAATGAGAATGAAAAGTTTTCACTTTCCAAACAAGTAGGGATTTTTCCCGGAAGACTTTCGAAATCAAGCTCGATTTGTTTTTGCGTTTGGTCGATCTCTCTCTACTTTAACTAGTTATTTCACTGACGTGCACAGACACTTTAGTTGCAGTAAATGTGTGATTTTGGTTTTGAAGGAAGAGAGAAACGAGAAATGATGGGGTCTCGGTCAGTAAGCCTCCTTCGGGTTAATTTGTCCGGAATTACAAAATCTATAGGGTCTCTGCGTGGCAGACGAGAACACAGATTTTCATCAAATTACTAAGAAGGCTATGATGATTTCAAATTCCATTCTTAAAATACTGTGTATATTTAAAACATACTTGAGCGCTTTGAGTAAAAGAAAGAGAAATTGAATTACCTTTCTCTCCGGTTCTTATACCTATGGATGTCAGCCGTTTCTCTCTTCCAGCTTTAAAATGAGAATGAAAAGTTTTCACTTTCCAAACAAGAAGGGATTTTTCCCGGAAGACTTTCGAAATCAAGCTCGATTTGATTTTTGCGTTTGGTCGATCTCTCTCTACTTTAACTAGTTATTTCACGGACGTGCACAGACACTTTAGTTGCTGTAAATGTGTGATTTTAGTCTTGAAGGAAGAGAGAAACGAGAAATGATGGGGTCTCGGTCAGTAAGCCTCCTTCGGGTTAATTTGTCCGGAATTACTAAATCTCTAGAGTCTCATTTGCGTGACCGACGCCTTAGTTGATGTAATTGTGTGATTTTAGTCTTGAAGAAAGAGAGAAACGAGAAATGATGGCGTCTCTGCCATTCAGCTTTCTTCGGGTTACTTTGTCCGAAATTACTAAGTCTCTAGAGTCTCATTTGCGTGGCAGACGAGAACACAGATTTTCACCAAAGTACTTAGAAGGCTATAATAATTTCAAATTCCATTCTTAAAATACTGTGTACATTTAAAACATACTTAAGCGCTTTAAATAAAAGAAAGAGAAATGAATTACCTTTCCCTCTAATTCTTATACCTATGGATGTCAACCGTTTCTCTCTTCCAGCTCTAAAATGAGAATGAAAAGTTTTCACTTTCCAAACAAGTAGGGATTTTTCCCGGAAGACTTTCGACATCAAGCTCGATTTGATTTTTGCGTTTGGTCGATCTCTCTCTACTTTGATTAGTTATTTCACGGACGTGCACAGACACTTTAGTTGCTGTAAATGTGTGATTTTAGTCTTGAAGAAAGAGAGAAACGAGAAATGATGGCGTCTCTGCCATTCAGCTTTCTTCGGGTTACTTTGTCCGAAATTACTAAGTCTCTAGAGTCTCATTTGCGTGGCAGACGAGAACACAGATATTCACCAAAGTACTAAGAAGGCTATAATAATTTCAAATTCCATTCTTAAAATACTGTGTACATTTAAAACATACTTTAGCGCTTTAAGTAAAAGAAAGAGAAATGAATTACCTTTCCCTCTAATTCTTATACCTATGGATGTCAGCCGTTTCTCTCTTCCAGCTCTAAAATGAGAATGAAAGGTTTTCACTTTCCAAACAAGTAGGGATTTTTCCCGGAAGACTTTCGACTTCAAATTCCATTCGTGCCCAGGGTATCTCGAAAGTTGATACCTCGTATTCGAGAGGGAAAATAAGATAGACAAACGGTTACAAATGCATTGGAATGGACTTCAAACCTAATCTAATCTTTTACCTTTGCAGAGTCTGGTATTGAAGAAGTCGATCCAGCTTGGGTTACTCTAAATATAACACGAGCACACTGGCCCTGAATCAACAGAACCTGGAACTGCGACAAGCAACATCCACTTACACAATGGTAAGTGCATGAGCCTATACCAGTTGCATTGGGTAATCACCATAAACGAATAAGGGGATTGCTTTCACTGATGGGCTCGAAATAATAACTCAAGGATCACTTGAGCTGCTCTGTAACTTAGAATCAATTGTATGAAAAGGTTTAACATCTGTTTCGGTCTCCACTCTTCTTATGATACAACATACACTTTATCCCAGTTTAGAAGGATTTGGCAGAGGCTAACATTTCCCCATGATCCTTCAAAATGCTTATGTGGACCAGATGTGATTGCTATGGTCATGGCAAATCGTATGCTTGTGAGATGGGCTTTAGAGCCTCCCCAATATATGAGAAAATATAAGATATTTTATTGTGAGTGAATACCTGTTAAAGAGGTCAGTACTCACTCTGATTTTACCCACCAGTTTAAATTAGCTATACTTGAAGGTTCATCCTGGTGGAAGTTATCCCAGTTTCAAGAGCCTGAAGTTACCAAGAGTGTAGCTCATCTCCTTAAAAAGGATGATAGTCCATTGCACCTACCTCCTCTCCCCCACAATTTTATCTGGTTCCTGCAAAATTTTCTCCTTGCAAATTTACTCAGCCCCTAGATTGTAAATCCCCCTTGCTTGGAGAGATCAGGGACAGTTTGAATTAAGTATCTTTTCCAAGAACACAACATAGTGACCTAGCTTGGGCCAAAAACCCTGGCCTTTTGGTCCATTTTGACAACTTTAGCAGAAGTCATTATCAGAGTTGAACAAAGAGTTGTTGTTAGTCAAGTTATAATTGTGGTTAATGTAAACTGACTGGTGAATGTTGCTGTGATTTTATGGGCTGCATCTGACCCGAAAAATATGAATTAAATGAAATTAAGTTCATTCAATGTGTTACTTTTGTTTGGTATCTTATTTATGGTCAAATGTGTAAATGTTCCCCCATTAGGATGCTATCAGTAATACTGTGGACATTTTCTACAATTACTATAAGTGTGACTATCCAAAATGTCCACAAGTAAAGAATGGATTGAAGCGTCTTCTGAATGAAAGATACAGGAATGATGTCAATAGCTTCATTGACAACTTTGTTCATCCCACACAAAGTCTTCCTAGAAGATTGGAGGAAGAGGCACAGTATAACTTTTGCTTTAAATAATAATTTTTTTTGTTAATTTACATTGCAGTTGGGATGAACTTTGTAATAATAGTAAATAAATTATGTAGTGTAATGATTTGCTGAGGGTGAGGGCTGAGCCTTGCAATTACACTGTATTAAGTGTTAATGCTATAAAATTGTATAGTTTAGTTGTTTCCAGGGTGACACTGCTTGTTCAAGATATATGAAAATTATCTAAGTTTTAAAAGCAGCTCTTGTAGTGCTGTATAACTCAAGTGCTATCCTTGCCAAGGCAATTGCACTACTGTAGTATATTGCAACGTTCTGTGTCCAAATATAAGCGAGACATGAAGAAAACTCACCAGAGATGTATTTACTGAAAATCCATGTAAACTTGGCCATGTAGCCAAATGATCCCCTACAACACATTTGTTACATGAATATGAGACTGACAAGCATGACATTGTGACTTCTTACATCATGCACCACAACTACACGATAAAGTTTGTTTTAATATAAAGTGATGATGACTCAGTTTTATATTTTTCACTGTAGACGTTTCCCCTTTGCCTACCCAATGGCAAAGTAGTTCTTCATCTGGTTCCTCCCATCAACAAATTGGCAGTTGGGGAGTTCTTTTACCAGGTGGGTCTCATTACAACAAGTGGTTTCAGTAATAATATATATCTACCTGAATTACAATAGCTGATAATGATCCACTATCTGAAATGCCTACAGTCATGTAAAAATTTCTACTTGGTAGTTCAATATCAATAAAGTATTTTGAAACTGATCTTGTGACTTCTTTTCTTCTTTTTCACTGTCACATGTAGGTTGGCCATACTAATCCACGCACTTTAGTTGTTAAATTTGCAAAATATGAGCAAAGAGGAACTAAAGTGAATGAATTGCAGCACTCAACAGTTCCTGAAGATGACTATGACATTGCCTTCACCAAAGAGTACTTTGACCAACTAAGGAATGAGGCTCCTGATAGACTGGGAGATGTTCTGATGCGTACCCTTATTGTTGTGGGTATTCCAAACTGGACAGTTCAGAGAGAGGGTGTGGCAAATCACCTTGGGAATGTAAGTTGAATTGTGCTAATTTTTTGTCTATCATGTGTGTGAACAAAGTTTCAAACAACTTGCATAGCAGGTTTATTAATGATCAAGAGAGGGGAATGCGAGAAACTATGAAGGAGCAGGGAAGGCTAGGCAAGGAACATGCAATAACCATCTGTTAGAGACAGAAAACAAAGTCACGCTTCTCTTTTGAACAAATGGATAATGGTGGCCTATCATTGTTTTCTAAGAGTCTGAAGATTGCCTACTAAGAATGGATTTCCAAATATTAGAAAAAGGGAAGTGTGTTGTTTGAATTAGAGTGCACCATTGCATTTTGGTGTTTGTTATACTTGAACTACTGTAAAATTAATGTGAAATTGGCCACGGTAGAAGTCTACACAACTCTGTGCAAAATGTTGAGACCATTTCTGAATTCTCAGTTCATATTGATCAGTTATTGATTCCTAGAGACTTCATACATCCTCTAGAGAACTTTGTGTTCCCTGTATTTTGTGGCAAGTCCAAGGGAAAAATAGACTTATGTCTTACCTGATTTAATGCATGTTTCATTATATTTTTTAGCCATGTCCATATCTAAATATATTACATGAAATCAATGGCAATGTCTTCCTTAGTGTCCAACAGAAAGGCGTAGCAGGTTTAGGTCAGAGTCCCATCTGTCTGTTCAGGAAAGCTGTGAAGATGAATCAAGCACTATGTCGGAGCCCAATTCTCCAACAGAAAATGATGATGTTTACTCATCATCAGATGGCACATTTTTGTCGTCCAGTGGTTGTGACAGAGGAAAATAAATATCTACTAACCTCCTCTTTAACCCCTAAGCAACTTATTTAGCTTCATTGTTAGTTTTTATAATCAGTGTTTATTTTCAGCAAAAAGGTACAGATGAGTACATGTACAGGTATCAGTTAACCCTATAACCCCCAGAGTGACCAAAGCAGATTTTCTCCTCACAGTATCGATACAATATCAAATAGAGAAGTGATGTGAAAAATGAAAAATATCAATTAGGGATGATTGGTTGATCTAATAACAATTCTCCCAACTAACATAATGAGAATTGTATTGCAGACAGTAAAGAGAATTAATCATGAGATCATGAGAATGAAATGCTTAGGGATGACACAGTGGAGTGACTGATCAAATCTAATTGGAGGCTTTTTTATTACTTTTTATGTTACAATGAATAGGTTTGGCTATAAATAAACCATCCCTAGTTTAATTGTCAAATTCAAATTATTATTTAAAACTGTATTTTAAGGTTCCATGTATTATTTTCTTTCTAAAGATGCTACAGGAAAGTTTATTTACAATTGAATAGTTTACACTTGATATAAATAGTTTCTTTACAATCTCAATATATTAGCCCATATTTCATCTCCATAAGAAACAGAGATTTAAGTATTTTTATTGGAACTTAGCAATTTTCAGGAGTTGAAACCATTCAAATATGTTAACTGTAAAACAAACCTTCCAAACTACAGGTAGACTGCATTTGTTTTTAAAAGTTGATGGTCAACTTTGTTAAGTTAAATTCTTTCACTTCCTTTTAGTTATACTAATAAAGGATGTGGGGTGTAAATCTGGTGTAATTGTTGATTTTAAGTTTCATAAGTTATCTCTTCATTTTCTTGAGGCTCTTGGAAGGACATTTGGGAGGAAAGATATGGAGGTCCTTCCTTCCCTCTCCTTAGTCCCCCCCCCCTCATTTTTTCTCGTAGTTTCCCTACTGCTTTTCATCCTTAGTAGGTGACTTCTGGAACAGGCAACAGTTACCAAACCCATCTTTCCTCAAAAAATGTTTGAAGAGTAAATAAAAATTAACATGACAGTCATAAAATTCTGCCTTCATTGTGTTTTAGGAATGAAAAATAATTGGGATGATTTTGCAAATTTTAGATTTCAAGCCAAATTTCTGAGCCAGGAACTTGAAATCTTAACTTTGCCAATTTAAAACTGATAGTTATGTTTTGAAGCTAAAAAACAAACTACAAAGTCATGGTATTTAACAAACTGCTAAGTGTTGCATGTAATTTGTGCAATGGAACAAGTCCTCCTCCTGTGCACCTGCCCTTGATAAGTAACCTCCCCCTAAAAATGCAAACAAATAAAGAGAATAAGAAAGGCTATGTAAATATACTCAAAGGAGTATCTGTTAATACAATGTATTTTGGGGGCTGATATATATCTTAAACATAACTATTACCACACTAGGCCTAAAAGTAATTTTTTCACTCACCCGGTCTTTTTGGTGAAGCCATGTTCAGGACAGCTGGATTAAATCCCTTATTCTTCAAGCGGATGGCTTCCTCGAGACAATCTGCATTGACCACTATAACCTCAGTTTTGAGACAACTTTTCTCGTCTCCCTTTACGTCCCTTCCTGGGGTTCTTCATCAGTGAAGCGTAGTTTCTCTTGCATCTCTTGAGACACTTTCGTGATTTGAAAAAACGACCTAGAAGCCGTCTTCCAAAGTGTACTTGAAGTTTTCAGATGCTTTGAGGGTTTGTTGCATTATTTCCGATCTAAATTCTCCAAGTTTTTGGAAGATCGGAATTCTGAAAGCCATGCCTTGTGGTCAAAAATCATTCCACCTGCTCCCTTTGAGGCCATGTCGATACGATAATAATGAGTTCTGTTCATAGCTAATGCAGTTGTTGTATTTTTATACAATATATGCTACTTTATTGCTTACTTTCCTTTCATGGACGTCCTAATCAACCAGGCGTTTTTTGCATTTTGATCAGCGGGTTAGCTTATTAGACCCAGGACTACTAAGAGGAGAGTCGCACGAACGTTACAGTCATTTTGAGCCATTTGCCAGCATGGGTATGGCAGGCGTATTACTGAAAGGAGTCTGGGAATTATATATCTTCCCGGGGTCCGTGGCGGATTGGTACATTTTGTGAAAATGAAAATCTGTAACCTGCCAAAAGCTTCCTGTAAAGGACACGCAGATAAAACAAATATTTAAGGAGTGTCATTCCTTCCAATATAGTGTAATACTTTTTCCATAGCTTCCGCCGATGAAGAGAGTAGTTGTAGTGTCGTCATTCAGACATAGAGAGACTATTCCTTCTTCATTGCCAAAGGCTAACTGAACTTTATATATAATACTTTTAAATATAACTTTTTATATATATATACAAGTATAAGAGTTTACTGACTTAAAGTAATTTTACAGCATGCAGGTATTTCCAGTAGAGTAGGATTACTGCGAGTAGTACATTTACTGAATTAAGTACAAAGTGCTCACCTTAGAACCCATACTAAGGTTGTTGTCAATAATTAAGATAGGTACATATATAATCAATACACTACATCCTTCCCGGCCAACGTTGCGAAATTATTTTATCAATTAATGTATTTAATAAGTAGTAAATAAAATTTTCATTATCCCTTGTTGATTTAACTACTCTTCCTGACCTAGTGGTAACATTGCTCTCATTATTCTGAGAGGCTTGCTCATCACAATGACCTGCTGGCTCATTGCTTTTACAAGCATCAGGGTTGGTCATACCCTTATCGCTAGAACCTAAAGCTTCGTTGCTGTTCTCTAGTTCTTCGACAATTTCTGAACTCGAAATTGGCACATGCTTTAGATATTTCGCGTTCCGAATTAGAGTGGCACCGGTATCTACATTAACTACACCGAAAGTGTCTCTCCCCTGCGCCTTGACGACTACATGCTTAGCTGATTGGAACTTAGAATCCAGTTTGCTAGGCCTCATGTTTGCGCAGAATACAACGTCACCTACTTTAAAGTCACGTAAGGCTGCGTGACATCTAGTGTCATGATAATCTTTAAGACGTGCTTGGTAACTCTCGCATTTTGTACGGTGCGCTTGCTCTAACTGCGGATCGGGACTAAGTGCGATGTGTGGAACCTTCATGCGGATTTCGTGGTTAAAGAGTAATTTGGCAGACGAATTTCCGCTAATGGGATGAGGAGTTGCCCGATAGGACATGAGAATCTTCGGTAACTCTCTCTGACTTGACTTGCCCTCTGCAATTACGAAAATTTTTCTTGAGATACCTGTGGAAACGTTCCACCTTGCCGTTACTACGCGCATAATACGGGGAAGCGCGAATGTGCCTTATCCCACAAGACTTGAGGAATGTTTCAAACTCAGCACTTATAAATTGCTTGCCATCATCTGAAACAATTTCCTCTGGAAAACCGAATCTCGAAAATATATCTGTAACACTCTAATAACCTCACTAGAAGTTATCTCTTTCAACACGTGCGCTTCAGGATAAGAGGAATAGTAATCGATATAAGTTAGATTGTATTTTCCATCCATCGGACCGACGATGTCAACAGCTCCTTTGATCCAAGGACCGCAGGGTAGCTTTACAGGCTAAGCGGTGCGTTTTTATTCAACGACTGATTCAGGACACAAGCGTGACAATTCTTAATCATCGTTATGCTGCTTCATCCATCCCAGGCCAACAAAATCTAGATTGAAGAAATTGTTTGGTTTTAACTATTCCCTGATGAGTTTCGTGCGCCAGCCGTAAAACTCTCTTTCTCAACGATTGCGGGATAACAATTCGATTTTCCCGGAGAATTATACCTTCGTAGACCGACAATTCATCCTTTAGTTTTAGGAAAGGTTTTAGCTCTTGGTCGCGTGACCATTTCCCGCTTTGGGTCATCCGGCGTAAGTTTGACAACCAGACATCTTTGTTGGTCTCTTTTCTTATGTCATCGAGAGTGATGGCTTGCAGATCGCAAACGTCCGTGTCACAAACGAACCTTATGTAAGTTTCGCATACATCACCGCTATCAGAGTTGTCAGCGTTGCTGAAAGGTAACCGTGACAGCGCATCGGCTGTGTTCGTATTGCCCGAAATGTGTTGAACTTGGAAACTATACTGGTGCAATCTCCAAGCAAGACGTTGGATTCGCAGTGGCAAAATTTTGCTTGCATGAGGATCGAACATGCTGGAAAGAGGTTTATTGTCCGTCAAGAGCGTGGACTGTACACCAAATAAATAGTCATGCAAGCGTTCGACTGCCCATACGCTTCCCAGAGCTTCGCGCTCAATTTGCGAATACCTCCTTTCTGTCGGAGTCAACCATCGACTTATATAAGCTATGGGCTTGCGCTCGCCCTTTTGCTGATCTTGTAACAAAATAGCGCCTAAACCGACTGGACTAACATCGGTAACTACGTAAGTGGGAACATCTAAACGGAAACAAGCGAGGACCGCCTCGCCCGATAATGCTTCCTTTAAGGCGTTGAACGCCTTGTTCTGATCGGCTCCCCAACACCACTTCTCTCCTCTTCAAGTGAGTCTTCGAAGTGGCTCGGCTATATTCGCATAGTTTGGAATGAACTTGGCAACATAACCACACGTTCCAAGGAAAGATCGAAGATCTGAAACGTTTGACGGCGGAGGTGTTCCCTTGATGGCATCGGTTTTTTTTTGGATCGGGCTTAATGCCGTCAGCGGATACTATATGGCCTAAAACCGAAATTTGGCTTACTCCGAATTCGCATTTGCTACGATTTAATTCGAGATTGTACTCGCGACATCGCTCGAAAACCTTACGGAGTCGACTGACAAGTTCTTTCATTGTCGCCGCGTGAACTATCACGTCATCGATAGAAATTCGGACTCCTATAATTCCAAACAGGATTTGCTCCATCATTCTTTGAAACGCCTCGTTTGCATCGCTAACGCCAAAGGGAGTACGCTTAAACCGAAAGCAACCACGTGGTGTGATAAACGTTGTAAGATAACGAGATTCCTCAGCTAACGTGAGCTGATAAAAACCACTCTTTGCATCTATTTTCGCGAAGTACTTTGAGCCATGCATCGCTTGCAAAGTATCATCTACCTTAGGTAAAACGTAACGTTCCCTTATGACTGCCTTATTGACCTCTCTTAGATCACAGTCTTATGTCTTATGTCGCCCGACTTTTTCGGTACTACAACTAAGTCTGGCTTCGCTAACCTCTTCAATGACATCTGCCTCGAGCATTTTATCAAGCTCATTGTTGACAGCTTCAATTTGGCTAAGCGGAATACGCCTTAAGTGCTGACTGACAGGTTGAACTTTGGGATCTATTACAATTTTGTGCTCAAAATTTGTGACCTTCCCCAGCCCATGGAACAAATCATCAAATTCGTGAAGCAAAGATACTAGTTCGCTTAGCCTATTGCTTTGACTACTCCCAACTGAGTTTACTTGTTTAAGTACTTCCAACTTAATACTAGAGTCCCTTCCAAGGAGAGATTCGCCGTGACCTTCAATTACATACAGAACTGTGGTGTCAACACTGTCACCCTTTCGGAGCGTGACGTCAAAATATCCGTTACACATTAATGGCTTTGTTTGTCCATAAGCGGTGAACCGCTTTTCAGTTCGTTTCAGCTCGCAATATCTAAACGACGAACAGTACAGTTCTGAAGAAATAATATTGTACTTACTTCCAGTATCGACAATCATGCGGATCTTTTTGT